ACCTAGTATTTCCTTGACTTCACTACCAGTGATCGTGAGTTTTTGCGATCAAATTCGTTCAAATAACAGGTTAAGGAGTAATAAGGTTATGGGTTTATGGGGTTATAGACTTATGATTCAATGAGATCATAAATTACACTGGTTTTTCAATCACAAGTCGATTTGAAATCTCGAAAACTGCTTTCTAGAGGAGTTTCTTCAAGTTAGAGTGAAAGTAAGTGATCTGGGAATTAAATTCGGATCAAAATATTATACGACACACTGGTCTGAAACACGGTTCAACCCACATTTTTTTGTGGTGCCGTGATATTTTTTGCGCATAATTATCGGCTATATTCTTCTAGTGTATAACTTTCTGAACTTAGCAGTATACAATCAATTTATTAAATTTTCAAATAGAAAAATTAATAATAATAAAGAAATGATTTGTGGAAATATATGAATAGCTCCACTTGTCTCCGAAAATGATGTCATCACACAAATGTGGACGAGATTTTAATACGCAGTATTGATGTGTCTTCGGAAATGTCATGAAACTTCATCATCCACACTGTATATTTTATATTATAACTAACGATTAGTTAAAAATTGTGACTGACAATAAAATTATTTATAATTCGTATTTTCTAGTAGACGTTTCTTAGCGAAACATTTAGTTCAGCAATATCTGACACCACTTTTTATCGTAATTTATTATTAAAAATTGAAAAGCAAATGCCACGAACAGCTCGGTAATAGACACGGTTCTCGTTAAGGTAGGATTAGGTATACTTTCTCCATAGACCTTATAGATCCCCGATAAGCATAATCATTTTTCAAGTAAGTCGATTCGGTATGTACGATACACACCGCGACAATTTGTTCTAGTAGGAAACGACTAGACTAAAGCAAGCTTTTTCGTAGACGACTTAGTAGATAGAAAGCAGAAACAATTTGATATGTTACATAAAATAAATGGTTCGTAACAATAGGTAAAAGCATCATGTTAACTAGTTAGTTCGTATCTATATGTTTCTTTCAGGGTTTCTTTCGTATTTCAGAGTTCTTGTGAGATAAAAAAAAATTTGGAACAGAACTCTGTTCTATCTCCGTGGGTAATTTTGGTTTTATACTAGTACGAAAATTTAATTCCCAGTAACATTAAACAGGGTGAGTTGTATATTATTTTCTTTAATAACAAATTTCAAACGAAAATGATTAAATAGTAATTTTTATTTAATTAGGTATCTGCACAAAAATATTTCCTATTTAAAAAAATACTATTTTTTATGAAAGGAAGCATGTTATTGATATTGTTCAAAGTGACGTGTGTTGTCAATATGTAATCGTCAAAGTTTTAAAAATTATTGTTTGAATTTTGGTAGACATCATGTGAGAAAACTTTTTCAAAGGAAATGTCATTTGACCCAAATTGCCAAGGGATGGAGATAAAGATGAAAGCGTCATATTTGATGTCAAACAATGAAAAGTCCTAGTTTATATTTCTTTGGTTAGAAGATATTTAAAACTGATAAATTAAAAGATGATATAATCTGGAAAAAATATATAAAATAAATAATTAAAAAAAATTAACATTTTGCACACGAAGTATAGTACCTAGGTACATAAAGTTAGATATGTTAAAATTGAACGAAAAATTTTAAAATGTTATAATATATAAGGTTGTTCTATTTACAAAATCTAAATTAGGTAACGCCAAGGCCAACCTGAATACTCTGCATAACTGAAAATATTTTTGTTAGATTATCGGAATAGAAGAAATATTTATACTAGACATTTTTTGCTAAAATTAATAATAAGGCGCCTATGAAGTAATGGATTTTGGTACCTTATGCAGAGCTCGGGTTACCAGATCTATTTCATGACAGACCCTGAGATATGACTCGTTTTTATAATTGATGCCTAAAAAAAAGGAAATCTGGGAGACAAATTGTTGTTTTCGAAGAAATCGATGTCTAAAAAAAAAAAAGAAATATCTACTACAGAGATCAGGAATCAGGAAATGATTTTTTCCGCAACAAAGAAAACCCAGAGAAATTACATGTTAACCCGGAGCCCGGAGATGTACCATCAAAACCCGAAGACTCCGGGTCAAACCTGGAGATCTGCCAACCCTATATAGCAGAGCCTTCATAAACGTTGGTAGGATCAAATGAAAAACCTAAACCTCAGTGGAGTGGTGTAATTAAATAAAATTGTTTTTTAAAATTGATTGAAATGAGCTATCGATATTAAACTTACTACATAATAATTTAGTATACATACCTACTTCCGAAATATACTTTTTGTTTTTCCTCTTAAATGCTTTTAACTTTATTAAAAGGAGAAAACTATCAAAGTTCACTTGTTAATGAATAAATTGCAAATCTTTGCTATGAAAGCAAAATCAATATGATATGAACCTATAACAGTTTATTATTATTTTTATTTAAATATAGAGTAAATAAAACATAGACAATTTACTTTATATTATAAATAAAATAGCATTACAAAAAAGTTACATTAATTTAAAAACCATTGCTATGAAAGCAAAATCAATATGATGTGAACCTATAACAGTTTATTATTATTTTTATTTAAATATAGAGTAAAATAAACATAGACAATTTACTTTATATTATAAATAAAATAGCATTACAAAAAAGTTACATTAATTTAAAAACCATTGCTCTTCGCTGCAAATTCAAATTCATAAATTAGTAACCTATATTGCCATATTTGCGATAAAACATTACACATTATGTTCAAAACGATGTCCTTCACTAGCTACCCACTTTACTCTCTTGTGCATATTTTCATACACATTTTGTAGTTATTGTTCTGTTATATTCTTGACATCGCTACACAAACGCCTAGTCTTAAGGGATGTAAACCGGTTTCTACAAATGTGTGCGGATTTTCTGCACCCCAGGTTCTATAATTTTGGCTATATACGTAACCTGATATGTGAAACCATGCTTTGTCAGTAAAACGGCAAGTTCAACAAATTATTATTCATGTTTTCTATATATCGTCTTCCATAGTCTATGGGAAGTATTCCTTCACAACAATTGCTCTGTATGGGTGTAAATGCATTGTTTTTTAAAGCTTTATGACATATTCCAACTGAAAGCCCTAAAATGAAAATTGTAGGTTATTAAATATACTTCAATCTAATCTCAAATTCAAATAAAAATTTCATAGTTAAAATGTTTTAGAGGCAAACTAAATTCTAGAACTTAACAACAAAAATACCTGCTTGAGCAGACAGCTCTGATACGGACATTGTAGGACTTTGATTTATTCGTTGCTCATCGGCGTATGCGTAGCTACAATTTTTACTTTGGGTGGGCCTTTGCTGTAAGCTTCATGGGGCCTCTAAAAAAAACCTCCCCAATTTACCAAAACAGGGTGTCTTATAATTAGCTGCCAACCCTGAACAGGCCGATTCTATGATCAAAACTAAGTAAAAAAGTTCATATGAACATGGGTCCGGAAATGCTTCCTAAGGGCACAGGGACCCATTGAAGAGGGAGGAATGGAAATCATTTTTTTGCAATATCTCTCAATCGCGTTGTGATAAATGAATGAAATTTGGTATACACAGCTAAATTTTGATGAGCAATTTGATGGACTAATCCATTTATTTCCACAAGGTCCATTGGGGTGGGTACGGGGGGGCCCTTGGTACTTTGCGTGTGTAACTTTTTCATCTTTGACTTTTTAACAAATTGGACAGCAAATTCCGTTTTCCCGAACTGTTTTACGTTAAAAAGGTACTCTTGTTTCAAATCGTTATCTTTAACGGTTTCTGAGAAAATCGCTCTTGAATTAATCCCACTTTGGTCAATTTCATAGTAATTTAAACAAAAAAAATTTTTTTGTTTAAATTTAATCTAATTTTAATAAAAAAATAATAATAAAAAATTAAATTAAATAAAAATTAATCCTTTAAATGGAAAAGAGAGGAAAGGAAAATTATTATTATTATTTTTTGTTTAAATTACTATGAAATTGACCAAAGTGGGATTAATTCAAGAGCGATTTTCTCAGAAACCGTTAAAGATAACGATTTGAAACAAGAGTACCTTTTTAACGTAAAACAGTTCGGGAAAACGGAATTTGCTGTCCAATTTGTTAAAAAGTCAAAGATGAAAAAGTTACACACGCAAAGTACCAAGGGCCCCCCCGTACCCACCCCAATGGACCTTGTGGAAATAAATGGATTAGTCCATCAAATTGCTCATCAAAATTTAGCTGTGTATACCAAATTTCATTCATTTATCACAACGCGATTGAGAGATATTGCAAAAAAATGATTTCCATTCCTCCCTCTTCAATGGGTCCCTGTGCCCTTAGGAAGCATTTCCGGACCCATGTTCATATGAACTTTTTTACTTAGTTTTGATCATAGAATCGGCCTGTTCAGGGTTGGCAGCTAATTATGAGACACTCCGTATAAAATTTAGGTCCACGCAGTTGACAAAGATCTTTTGCTGGGGTGGGCACCGACTTCCTCCCCCTCCCCCTTTCTACATTTATTTCCATTACCCGTCTTATATACGATTTTATATTGAAACAAAAGAAACAATAAAACGATGGTAGCACGAAAATAAACACGGATGACGGACGCCACTGAAAAATGCACAAATGTCCATTCAGCGTCATCGGTCATAACGATTGCTTTACTTAACAGTAAGAAACCATTGTGTCTACACTCGAGATAATCCGATAATTGGTTGAATGAAATGTAGTAAAAAATTACACCAATCATGAGTCGGTAAAACGAAATGTTGCGTTTTAACGTAGTCTTGATCTTATCGTTTTAGTAATTTTTAATTTTACCAAAATTTAACTGCCAACGCGAAAATAATAAAATTATAAACTGGCCACGTGGCTTGTAATCATTTATGAAGGCTCTGCATATTTTACACTTATCCTTGTCTTATACTGCAACAATAATTATAGTTCGAAAGCAAAATGCAAGGAATTCACATGTTTTGTACTTTTTTTTCAGAAGCATGCAGAAGTTCAGGAGGAAATCTAGAGCGACGATGCGGTTTTTCTACTACGTCGTGCTCGGCATCTTCTCCATAAATTCAGCGGGAGCTGCCCGTAGGCCGCAAATAAACGGCACATGGATGTAAGTTATGTTTATTGCTCGTTTTAATGAAAGGCTTTAAGGATTAGTACACAACCGCCTAGGTTTCTCGGTATCGAGACAGATCCAAGCAGATAAGGCAATTCATTTAAAAAATTGCCTCCTTCTTGAACGATATCTTGAACTGTGGTAAATCTATCTTCATGGATGAGTAGATGTATTGTATACTGGTTATTCTGTCTCAGAATATACGGTGTGCAAGTTGACAACGGTTATAACTGTAAAATTAGTATTTTGTTCATTGTTATATAAAAATTGTAACAATTGCAGATCTACAATATTTCATGTTTTCAAATATATACACAATGTCCACGGTTACAGTGACTGAAAGAAAAAGCTTTTTAATTTAATATTTAATGGAAAAAAGCACAGTTGATAAATGGTTTTGCTTGTATTTAAAATGAAGTTGCCATGGAAAAAGAACATTTCATGTACGGGAAGTCTAAAAAATAAGAAAATGAAATAAGAGTAAACTACTGGTTAGAGTGCCCGTCGGCAAAACTTTTATTGATACATACTCTCTACAAACTTCTTATATAGCTTCATTAGGCCTGACACCTTTTTCCTCTGTGACTTTTTTCGATTTTGGGGCGTTTTCCCTCTAATTTTTCCGAAACCCGTCGTTTTGACGACATATGAAAAATTTATAGATACTGTTTTTTTTTAAATTTAATCATTTTTATTTAATATATTATTCATTCAGTTGCAAAGAAACATTCAATAATTGCTTCCGATTTTGAATTTCTTGAACTTCGCGCTTGATATGTACACACCTGTCTGCTTATTGCGCATTCTTATCAGCATGGAGAGTAGTAAAAGTCTCTCTATTCTCCATGGATGCCAGTTTACTGTAAGATGAACACGTGTGTCAAATTATTGTGTAAAAATGGAGTGTTTCGTATGCAAATCAAATAAAGGTGAAATAATAAAATTTACGCCGCATATATTAAATATAGGTGTAAATTTTATTGGAAAATTTCGGAAAAGCGCTTGATTCATAAGGCTTTAAGTAGTATGCAAACAAGTTTTCAGCTCAATCCTAGAAAAATTGACGTAAAAAAATTGATTAAAAATTTTTTGATCCTAGCAATCCTTAAGAAACAAACTATTAAATTTTCAGATGCTGATTATGGATATCTTGATTCCGGAACTGAGGAAGAAGATAATTACGACAGTGATGATACAGATGAGGAAAGTACGAATGACTATGAAAGCGATGACGAAAATTAAGCAAAATTAATTTTTTATTTTGATTTTATATTTTTTTTTTATTTTCAAAATTTTCGAAATTTTTCCTATAAAATCATTTATATTATTTAATAAAATACTTGATATTCATTTATTACTTACCTAATTAATGTAGTTTTTATTTATAGTACCGTAAAAAGGCTGAATAACAATTATTGAAGTAATAATTATTGCAAACTAGAATTAGGACTGTCACTGCAAAAAAATTTATTTTTTTCGTCAGACTCTAGTTACGCCCCCAATATATTTGTCAAAGATGTGGACCACATATTAAGTACTGCTTTTCTACACATAATTTTTCAATGTCTGACGGTTATTAATAAATATTTTGTAGACATGAAATCGACAACTTTGACGCGTCAAATTGGAAAATCGGAAAATAATTCTCATCAGACAATATGAAAAGTTGTTTTTGCAGTTCTTAAAGATAGGATCTTGAGAAAATCAGCTGGTTATTAATACATTTTTTATAGTAGTTTTTCTGACATGTTCGAGGTTGCAGACATTTTGAACGGCTCATACCTATTGTCAGAGAATTTTATTTTCACGTTTCATTTGAAGTTCTACTCAATTTAAAAAAAAAACAGTATCTATAAATTTTTCATATGTCGTCAAAGCGACGTGTTTCGGAAAAATTAGAGGGAAAACGCCCCAATATCGAAAAAAGTCACAGAGGAAAAAGGTGTCAGGCCTAATGAAGCTATATAAGAAGTTTGGAGAGAGTATGTATCAATAAAAGTTTGGCCGACGGGCACTCTAACCATACCCTTATTTTTACTCATTCGATAAGATGTTACTAGGAAAAGTTGTTCGGAATTAAAAGTTACAAAAGAATTTTCATTTGTGAATCTGTGAATCTGTTCGTCTGCCCTACAAGTAAAAGTCCTTCATAATGACTTACTTATGGCATGGTTCATACCGGCCGATCCAGCAATTGGGAAATATGTCCTGTAACGAGGTCCTATCAGTAGCAGAATGCGTCGGACAATGCTCTTGCTGAAAATGAAAAGAATTTTGATAGGCCAGTGGTAAATTTACCAATTCATTAGTGAAACACGTTTGAAGTACCTATATTTAGGTGGTTGTTCCCGTTGCATGTATCTTCAAAGAAGTACAAAGTCTGTTCAGAAAATAACCGAACTTTATTTTTTTAAATTTTATTATCAATTTTGTACAATATTTGTCCTTATTTCTTTCAAAATACTCCACTCCCCTATCCACACACTTTCCCAACCGTGTTTCCATTTTGTGAAGCAGTCCTAGATAGCTTCATTTGAAATGACCTTTAAAGTCTGTAACGAATTTGATTTGATGCCATCAATGGCCAGGAAATGTCATACTTTCAGCACTGATTTTAATTCCGAAAATATATAAGAAAAAATCGCAAGGAGTCAGGTCTGGCAAGGAGGTTGAGGGCGGACAGTAATCTGATTTTTGGCACAAAATTGACGAATTAACAAAGCTGAGTGTGCGGGCGCATTATCATGATTATCCCGCCACAACTCTGGTCCCTTTTTGTGTTTTTTTTTTCACGTAACCGTTATAAAACGTCTTGATAATACATACGGTTTAATATGTCATCTTGAAACAAGAATTCAAAATGCACAATTCTATTAAAGTCGAACAAACACTGAGCATCACTTTGACGTTGGATCGAGACTGACGTGCTTTCTTGGGGCATGAGATCCTTTGCTAATCTATTATGATGATTGAACTTTCGTTTCAATGTAGTAGCCGCAAATCCAGCTTTCGTCTCCCGTTTGAATAAATGTTTTATCGCCATTGGATTGTTCAAGAAGTTGCCGACAAATGTCCACACGATTTTCTTTCTGTTGTTCAGTCATCTGACAAGAAACAAATTTTGCCTACAACTCGATGCATGTTCAATTTTTCAGTCTAAATTTCATGGCATGACACAATTGGGATGCTAATTGTTACAATTTCTCTAACAGTCAATCGGCGATTTGCATGCACCAGATCTTTGAACACGGGAGTCATCAGTTGATGTCGAAGGCCTTCCTGGTCTAAGATCATCTTCAATTGACTGACGATGACTTTTAAATTATGCGTACGACGAAAACTAATTGAGATATCAACAATCCAAGAACATCTGGTTATAGAGGAGGTTATGCGCAACGTAATGCTGCTAACCGCATTTCACTAAATATCTCCATTAGCGCGTAATTCTTAATATCAATGGCTTTCTACCAGAGTATTGCAAACATCATAACCTAAGATTTGCAGGAATTACCATAATTTCTATTCATGTTAGTCTTAATCTGTAGATTTGTCCTGAGGTTGTTTTTAGGCTTTTATTAGGGCACTAAATTCAAAAATATTAAGGATTTTCTCCTGAAAGTAAGATTTTATGTTGTTTATAGCCTATAGCCTAACAATACTTTGTCTGGATTAAATTTTGTACAAAAGATAACGTAGATAAGTCGTCGACTTACGATACACTGTAAGAAAAATTTGACTTATTTAAAATATAAGCTGTAATTATTACACTCGTCTATACAGGGTGTGGCGTGTATAATCTATTAAAATTAAACTACAGCTTCCTAAGGATATTTGTAATAGAAAAGTCTTATACGAAAAAGTTCTATTTTTGCGTTTTTTTTTTCGTAAATTAAAGTTCAATTATGGATCAAAATATTTTCTCTAGAACGGTCCTGTCCGTGTGCTGTACGATGAGTTACGTGTTACGTGCTGTAAACCAGCAGCGTAAACAAATCGTCGTTGAAAGATAGAAAGATACTTCTTAATTTTTGGGGAATTTTTCAATGCAAAAGTACTAGCTAAAAAAAATAGATATTTAAAAAAAAAACTGATGTTTTCTTATTATAATAATTAATAATAATTATTATCTTAATGCATTGTTGTTACTGCAAGAGTTCGCAAACAAAACCACATCCGTAAGCATCTGCAGTTGCCAACTGCGTGTACTAAACAAACTCCATTAAAATATGGAACAAAATGAGATAAAACTTACCATTTCTAGACAAAATGTTGAAACTGATCCCCATTAGTGCGGACACAGGCATGGCACCAACGCATCCAATTTTGACGAATATTTTCCCAAATTCCAGGTATTCCCCTAATTGTGTCAGCAGTTTCAAGTATGCCGTTTCGCAATTCTTCCACCGTAGGAATTGGAGCATTGTAAACCAATGACTTCAAGTGACTCCAAAGATAAAAGTCCATTGGAGTTAGATCGGGTGACCGATGTGGCCACGGCACAGGACCAAAGCGTCCAATCCATCGCTAAGGAAACATTTCATACAGAAGTGTCGTTACTTCTCGAGTACTGTGTGGAGGAGCCCCATCTTGAAGATAAAACATGCGTGGCCGAACTTGTAATGCCACATCGTCCAATAATTCAGGCAACAGGTTCTCCAAAAAGTCAGCATATGTTAGTCCATTTAGTCGTCCTTCAAAGAAATAGGGACCCACAAATACATCGCCTATTATGCCAGCCCAAACATTTACCGAGAACCGATGTTGAAAATGAGTTTCCCTAATCGCGTGAGGATTTTCATCGGCCCATATGTGAATATTATGGAAATTCACTTCATCACGGGTAAATGTCGCCTCATTTGTTACACAAACATAAGCAGGAAAGTATACTTGATTGGCACATTGCCGTAAAAACCATCTGCAAAAAACGTTTTCGTTGATCACAATCCGGGGGTAAAATCAGTTGAACTGGTTGCAGATGATAGGGGTGCAATAGC